CCCGAACCTAGGCCGAAGTGTTCGTCCATCTCCCACCATCCCAAAGCTTTGTTAAAGACAGCCAGACTCTAAAGACAAAACAATCCGCAGGAGGGTCCTGTGCAGACCAGAGAGAAAACCCACCAGCACCCAGCAGCAGCATGAGCCACTTAAACTCCAGAGGCGTTCTCCACAGGGACCCCAAAGAGGCAAACAAACCAAAGGCAGGCGTTCCTGTTGCTTTAGCAACAGACCATGGTCCCAACTTCCCAGGATGTGATGAACACACATCGCTGCACTTCAAGGAGCTGTAGGAGCCATAGGAATCAGGAACGGGCATTTGTTCCCATTCCCATGTTTAGGGAATTATTAACAGCAAATCCTGGCTGGCTGTTAATGTCTCTAGGAATTCCATTCCCAGCCCCATCTGGACTCTGGGTTCACATTCCTTCACCATTTACCCACGGCCTTCACCCTACACTCCCTCGCACTCATTTGGTAAATAGCCTAAGTGTAATGATCCTGGCAGATCTGGGCATGTGCTGCCAGCCGTGGCCCCAAGAATGCAGTGCCAGCACTGGACCCAAATGGCCAGAGCTGCTCCTCTGTCTGCAATCTCCCAAGAAAGCCAGTCATTTGATGGCTTCTGTGAATTCTTATTGCTGAATGACACTGAAGGAGGCAAAGTCTGGAGCCAGGATGGGACAATGACCATGATGCTTTCTCATCGTCAGTATGTGCATCCACCACCACCGCTAGTCCCTAAGGCCTGCTCACAGGTGCCCCCCTGCAGGACTCTCCATGCTGAGGGATCAGCAGTGAATGTGCAGGAAATTCAAGGCTTGGAGGCCCACACTCCACCTCTCAGACCAGCCAGGGCAATCCTGAGCTCCTAGCCTATGTGGTCTGTGGGACTGAGCTCTGCCGGGGACAACGTGCACTCCATCTCCTGGGCTTCAGGCCTCCCATGACCCAATCCGTCTGTTTCTGCACTACTCCACTCGGCCTTCTTCAGGCCCTAGCTTCAAGCATCAAGCATCCAACAGAGCCCCCAGGAAGCAGCCAGGCAGACCCTGGGCCATTCCCCACTCTGGTAGCATCTGGGGCAGGACATCCTCAAATCTGCAGAGCAATCACGAGGCTCCAGGCTTAGAGGTCTGTGGACAGCTCAGGGGTGTCATCGTCTGTCACTATCTTCACCTAGGTGTCACTGCCCCAGGGTCCTACCAGGACCTTCTTTCAACTGTCCTGCTTCCTAAAAGCTTGAGGTTTCTCAAGGTGTTTTCCCGAACATTTGCAAACAGAATCCCTAGTGGACTTGAACATCAGCATTTCCCAGATGGGACCAGGAGCCTGTCTGCACAGCTGTGGCCCACCATTGAGGAGTTTGTGGCCAGATTTGACCCACATGTCCCCACTGCACTGCTCCCAAAAACCTAGGGAGAGGCCTGGACAATGCACACCCAAACACTGTCCTTGTCCTCCTTGGGCGCCAGGCCTCAGTTCAGCACTGGCATCTAGCAGTCAATCAAGGGAACCCTGCTTGTTGCTGCCGCTACCCAAAAACTCCCAGCAGCTGCCAGGCTTTTAAGAGCTTAATTCCCCAGGAAGTGATGTGTGTGCAGCAGGAACCCATCCCACAGTCGTGCAGCCAGAGTGACCCAGGTTGCTATTCCAGAGCCCTGGGCAGGTTCTGAGCACCGAGCATGGGCAGGCATGTTGCCCTACCCTTAAGACTAGAACTCCCTGTGGGGAAGGCTTATGTTAGAGCCCCGCCTGCCCCCACACCAGCCAAGACAATCTCAACATTCCCACAAGTGCCAGTGAGATACACATCAGCTGGTCAAACCAATTCCTGAACCTGCTTTCTGCAACAGCAAAAAATATCCCCCATCAAGAAATCTGATCAGACAGCAAGGCATGGTGGTATAAGCCTATAATACCAGCACTCTGGAAGCAGGAGTATCACAAGTTGGAGCCCAGTTTGAGCAATTTAGCAACAGCAACACCTTGTCTCAAAAAAATTTTTTTTAAAAATCAAAAAGGTCTAGAGCTGTGGCTCAGTGCAGAGGTGCTTGCTGAGTTCCATCACTAGTATGGGAAGGAGGGAGACGAAGAGAAAGGAAGAAATCTGATCAGAAACTGGTTTTTACCTGCTATCACTCAATTTCACACCTCAGAAACAAGACCACTAATCTTCTGTCTTCTGGTTGCACTTTTCGTGTTCTGATTCCTAGTAGCAGGGGAGCCTAAGGGCCCCTCCAGGAGCCCAGGGAGCAATCCCAGACCCTACATACTAGCATTGGGACCTACAAGAAGTGATTTCACTGCCCTGAGCCTTAGGATCCTGATCTGTAAAACAGGAATAGTAATCGACTCTCTCCTCAGGGTTTAGTGAGACTTCAGATAGCAAGAGCAGCTCACCATGGGGATACATGCCTATAATCACAGCTGTCCAGAGTACCACTCCAGAGGCTGAGGCAGGAGGATCACAAGCTCCAAGGCAACTTAGAGAGACCCTGTCTCAAAAGGCAGCAAGAGCAGAGAAAGCAGGGCTTTCACTTCCCGGCTGCTCACTATTATTATTGCACCTGCTGATTGTGCTCCCCCACACACCCTGGAACCAGGACTCTATCATTTCTGCCAAATGCGGCAGCCAGTCCCAGGAATGCAGTCAAACAACCCAGACCTCATCCAGCTGTTTTTATATTCCCTCCTGTACACACTCAGAAGACATTCACTGTGCTTTACAGTACCCAACAGATATTTCTATCACAAGCCCTTGGGCACATGCATTAACTGCCCAGCCACTCCTTTTTGTTCCCACCATCCTGGACACGCCCAGGGGCAGCAACCTACATTCAGCTGCAGGCCTGGAAGCCAGGAGCAGGCCCTTCAGTGATGATCTTGAGCCCATTTTGATGCAACATGCGGAGAAAGTCAAATATGCCCTTGGTCAGCTGTGCCAGCAGAATGGCAGGGCCCTGGTTTTAGGTGCTACAACCCTACACAAAGGTCACGGGGTCTGGGGTCACGGGAAGGTAGGTTCAATCTGTTCACAATCTCTCAGTATGTAATTCATTCACCCAGAGCCCAGAAGTGCTGCGGGGGGCAGTCCAAGGTGAAAAAGACAGACCTGTGTGTAGTATTCCCTTCTCCTCTGTGCCCCAAACTCCCTGACGGTCCAGGTAGAGTTTCAGGAAATTAATGAGGTCACTTGGATGAAGGCATCCCACAGGTTTCTGTGGTTAAGGATAACCACGGCCTCCTGAAAATGCTGTAAATGTCAATTCCCCCCAGCCAAATCCTCCTGGCTGCCCTAAAGAGCTGCTCTCAAACTCAGTAGGAAGCTCCTGGCAAGGAGACTTCAGGGGCCAAATGCTGTTGCCCACAGACACCCCAGGACTCCTAAGTGGGGGCACACCCCCAGACCCTACAGCAGCCCACACTGTTCCCCACTTTGGACAAGTCCCCATTATGCACTGGGGAGGGGACCCACAGGAACCCCAGAATGCTACCACTTAAGATCTCCATTACTACTCAGAAATAATGCAAGCATGCTGAGGAACTGTTTTTCTACAAAAGCCCACTCTTAGTGTATGTTATATAGGTCCATTCCTGGCTTAGTCTCAGTTTCACTTCCCTCATCACTCTGATGAAATATAAAATGCAATGCTGTCTTACAATCTCCTCATCTTCCTCTGGCCAGATTTCCTCATCGCTGAATCCAGCCTCAGTAATCCTGTCTCCTAAATAGCCAGCTCCCACCCTCCCACGGCCTGGACCAAGTCGCCTAAACTTGGTAGGGGGACCAAGACACCAGAAGGGGGCCACACTCACAATCCAGAGCAAGGACTGAATAAGCCTAGGAACATCTGGAAACTTATCTGTAAACAGGCTTGCTAAAGAAAAAGGTACTGGAGACAGTGGGGCAGAGATTCCCCCTCCCCATTCAGGATCTAAATGTGTTAAAAGCAGCCAAGGGTTGTCAACAGGGCCACCTGGGACCTGCCTTTGAAGCCAAAATCGACTTATTCATAAAGAGTTCTTTTGACACCTATATCCCAGCCTCCTTCATAGAGACCCAGAGAATGAACCGGCTTCCAACCATTTCCTCCTTCTTGGAAGTTTTCCTAGCATGACAATGGAACTCATTTCTTTGAGAACATTGCTCCCAGGAGTTTCAACATCCAGCCACTATTAAGACAGCCTCCCTTGACTGAAACAAGGGTCTCTCGTGCCCTCTTTAAGGAGTGACTTCTGGGGTAAAAGCTCACAGCTACCACCTATTAACCCTCCTTACAGCAGCCACATCCAATACACCTGCCTTAATTAACAGTACAAAGCTCCTCCACGCTAAGTGCCAGGCAATGGAAGATTCACTGCCTTGATGAGAGGCAGCCTTGCTGTGTCCCACAAGTGGCTGGAAGACTCGGGTCTCCAAATGCAAACGCCTCTGGACATCCGTACTCCCTCCTGCTACTTCTGAATGTGGACAGCAAAGCCCTGGATCCTCAGTGATCTCTGCTAGATTCCTAACCAGCAGAACCTCCCTGGGCTGTCCTGGAGGTGGAGGGTCAAATTCCAGGTAGAGATCAAACGGTCACCATTCCCTACAGGGACGTCCATAATTACCTCCCAGTTTCCAGGAACTCAACTTAATTAGCTGATTGACCTCATTTAGTGTTCAAACTTGAGTTTCAAAAGAGAAAGAGGTCACACACCTATCCAATTTGCTACCTCGAATTTCCACGTGGAAACCACGATAGTATTTTAGGACGGCCTTGGGGGCCTTCCAGGACCGTCCTGTGTCTACAGCCGTCACCCCCCCGCCCCCCCCCGACACACGTATTCTGGCCTAACCCTCCACCCGTTGACCCAACCACCTTCTCGGATTAGCCGCCCAGAGTCCCTTTAAAAGCCTGGCTGCCAAAATTCATGGTCACTAGAACCATTCCTCTGCCCCTCTGGGCGCCCCCAGCCCCACAGAAAACGAGAACCTCGCCCGCGAGCCTACCCACCCGGAACAGGAGGTCCACTCGCGGATGCACGGAAGGGCGCCGCACCTCGATTCCGGAACCCGGGCAGCGAGGTCGCACAGACGACCCCCACGCTCTCCAGGCCCTGACTGCGAGGTCCACGACACTCCAGGCACCCGGGAGGTGAGGTCTACCACGATCCCGGACCCTGGCGGTGAGGTCCCCTGCGCGCCTCACACCGGTAGCTCCTGGGAGAGGAAATCAACGCGCGAATCGCGAGTCGGTGGGTCGCACCTGCTGGTTCAGTCGGCGGCAAGTGCGC